TTTGAGCAACTTATGACAAAATGCTCTAAGTTTGGTTTCCAATTTTCAATTTTAACGTGGATGGTTAGAGTTAGGTTACCGAGTTAAGGGTTTGCTAGTAATGTTAATTGTGCCAAAATTTTGGGGAAGTCCGATTGTCAAAATTGCGAAATTAATTTTGGGAAAAAATAATGGAAAGTCCAATTGTCCAATTAATTTTTTTAAACGGATAATCGGTTCGAGGCGGGGCACTATCGTTAAATACCATACCCGTCTCACCTCGAACTGGGTTATTAAAATCAAAACCATAACCACCCCGTTGTACCGTCGGTTCGATTTTTTTCGCTCCATTAGATTTGGTTAACCACAATTTCAATTTTAACAATTCGAATTGTCATCCCTAAGAGTGAGCAAAAGGCACTTTACGAGGTTATTTAGTGAAACCCATTAATGATTAGTACAAACTGGACAAATGGCAAAACCAAGGTGACAATAATGAACAATGATTCTGGGATTACCTCTTTCAAGAGAAGGTAGGTGGATAGATATATTATAAACCTAATCATGCTACATGTACATCATCTTTTACATCATGCTACATGGAAATACACCAGTGCACAATTAAAAAACCCATCCACATTTTTTTTGAAAAACAAATGGGACGTCGAACAAAATGTAAGCCATTGAATATACATATATCATTATTCTTATAAACAATGGTTACTAATTGAGAAATTGATAACATGCAAGCATTTGCCAGCCTCTTTGTTATGTTTATAATTTTTATTTTCTTGAATTTCTTTTGTTCATTTTGAAGCAATTATTTCTTCAATCTCATCGTAATTTTAGACTGATCATAGAATAAATAATACAAAATAGTATTAAGTGAATTTAAAAATAAAAATAAGGGAAAATTGCGGCCGTGGTCCCAAACCTTTCATTTTGTTGCAGATTACACCCAAACCTTTTATTTTTGCGGTCGAAGTCCCAAACCTTTATATGTAGTTGCAGCGTCGGTCCCAAACCTTTAATTCCGTCCATAAAACCGTCAGTCAACGTTTCAACAGTAATTTTGACTCAAAAAA